TTGCCCAGTCCCTGTGAAAGACGTCATGATGATAGGCACAGGCTTGAAAAGCGGCATATATCAGCACTTTGAGTATATGCTATACTCTGTTCTGTCTATTTATTTAGGTATCATTTTATTTCAACTACTCATATATATACAAGAAATACACTATGAAGAGGAAACTACATTTTTAACCTTTCATAAGATAATTCAAAGAATAACACCAAAATAATATTAAAAGATCAAATATAGGAAAAAAAGTAACTGATTACCAATTCCAGTTAATTATCCTTGGAGGCATTATCAGCCACACCTCTCCTTGGCTGCGGCAGCCAAGCTGTTCTCTAACCAAAAAGATACTCATACACACATGTCCATCCACACAACTCGTCTATACACTAAATAAACGAGTAAGAATTATGTGCTCGAATGAAAGATTTCCTTACTAGGCCTCATGTACGTCCATAGTGATAAGGATTAGCAGAGTTACTAGATGAGCCTACTGCTGACTCCAAATACCCTTTTATATGCCCTTCAATTAAGCTTTTCTCCCAGACCTTCATCTGTTATTCTGTAAGAATAGTGTTATATATGCTTAGTGCTCTCCACTATCTAGTCACTTATTCTCTGCTCAGTGGTAAAGTGCCAACTCTTGGCTTTGTCCTTAAGTTGTAGGCACCCAAGCAGTCTTCAGCATTTATCCATACACGAAAAAGTATTTACGACACTAAATCGGGAAATTATCATGTAAAGCTGACATACTAATCTCTCTAAACATGTGCAGAATATGGTCCAGATTTCACTCACACAAGTAAATTTCTTTATTGCCAGTGTTTGACAGTTCAATACCTGATATTTATGGACTTACATGGAAACAGAATTGAAGACTGTGAGCAAAACTGCCAACAGCAAAGCAAGAATGATAGATATGTAGTGTCCATATCTGACGTATGTGTTCCATTTGTAGTTGAGCCAATGGGTTACCACGGGATGGCTCACCAGGTCCTCTCGGCCATAGCGAAGCATCCAGGACAGCACATGGTCCATTTGCCATGCATGGTCCACCTTCCCCTCGAGGTACACGTCTGGCTTAAGCCGGCCATCATCACGGAGTACTTTCTGATATGCATCCTTTATTGGGGTCAAACTTTTGGGCGATTTAGAGGATTCATCTGAAGAATCTGAAAATTTACCATGAACACGTTTCGAAAAACAAAATGTTCAAATATATTGAATTTCAATAGACCAAAGAATGGTAAACCTATGTAAAAAATAAATAAATAAATAAATAAATAAATAGAATAAAAAAATAAAGAAAGAAAGGAAACCTGATGAACAGTACCTAGGGCATCGACACTATTTCCTAGTATTATAATAATTAGAAATTCAAATACAGAAATCAGTAATGTTAATTAGTCACAAGTGATAACAGCAAGTCGTACCATATTGAATGTACACTTCGTCCAGATGGTGCAAAATGAATTTCTTCTTCTCTACAGTCGTGGACCCATCTAGACAATCTTGCTGCCAATCGTCCAGTGCTTTCTGAGCAAGAAGAGGCATCTTCTGCACCAAGAGCCTGAAGTTGTCATTCTGACTGTAGTGGGAATCGCCAGGAGTATGACGAGGGAGCAAGCACTCTTCGCCAAATTTGCTCTCAAGAATGGTTGACACCATATAGCTACAGATAAAACATAGTAATCACAAACAAATATCAGATATCATGGTTATATAATTGATAATAAACCGAAATCATGTCAGTTACAGGTGCAATACATTACCAGGACTTATGTCATATAGATATTTCACATGTCATTCAATAAATATAAATCTTTTGAAGGGAGATGATACTAGTCCATACTTGTTTTCTAACTCTATTTGCTCGTAAAGAATTGCTTGAATGTCTATGTCTATTTGACGGGGATATTTGCCGACCACATTCTCTGACAGGAGTAGAAAGGCGAAAATGTCTAGACACCGTTTGTCATATGCCATCTTGACAGCACTTGGAATGTTGGGACTCGAGTTCCAAATATCTGTAACAGGTACAACTAACTCCTTGCAGCACTCAAGGGATCTCCTTTCTACTGCATAATGTAAGGGAGATTTCTCTTCTGCATTTTTCCTGTTGACCAGACCAGGTTGTGACTGCATCATAACCCGGCAACATGCAGCTTTGCCATTCTTTGCAGCAAGATGAAGCGGTATGTTTTTTGAGTCTTTGACTTCTGCAACGAGTGAGGCTTTGCGACTTATAAGGGTTTGACAACATTTCACATGCCCTTCCTTGGCCGCCAAATGGAGTGGAGTTTCAAGATGTTGGTTCATTGAGTTGACTTTCACATATTTTGAAAGCAAGTCACAAATATCATGTAGTCCGTACTCAGCAGCAATGTGAAGGGCAGTACCATGACAGTCGCAGGTAACATTCCCATCTGCGCCGCTCCTAAATAGGATCTTGCACGCTTCCTCATTCCCATTTTTGATGGCGATGTGCAGTGCTGTGTGTCTATCAACATCCTGGGTATTTATGAATGAATCTAGGTTTTGAGTCTTCCAGGTCTCCCGTTTCAATAAGGTCTCTAAGTTTTTGTTTCCTGATCTGGCTGCCGCCCAATGTAAGATTGTTTTTCCTTTCACGTCTCTGACGAATGGATCAGGCTCGTAAGAGAGTAATTTCATCAACATATCATTTTGAGCGTGCTGCGCAATGTGCAAAGGTGTTTCTCCTTTATTATTTTTTGCCGACACCTTAGCTTTATTTTCGCAGAGAACCTTTAAGCAGTTTACCTTATTTTTCCTAGCAGATAGCACTAAATGGAGTGGGGTGTTTCCGTTTTTGTCAGTGCTATCAACTGAGGAACCGGATTCGATAAGCTGGTTGCAGCACTCGGTGAAACCCATTTTAGCAGCAATGTGAAGTGGCGTGTATTCCCGTACATCCCTAGCTTCGACACTCGCTCCTTTTTCAGCTAAGAAGGAGCACACTCTTGCATTGCCGTTCATGGCCGCAAAATGCAGGGGAGTTTGCTTTTCTTTGTTGACGGCATTGATATTCGTCGGATCCTTCTCGACCAATATCCTGCAGATATCCACATTTCCTTTCTCAGCTGCAATGTGTAGTGGTGTTTGGCCGGCAGTGTTGGCGATGTCAACCTTTGCCTTGTGGGACAGGAGGAGCTTCGTGATCTCCAAGGAAGTATTGCCAGTTGTGAGAGCCAGCATTAAAGGGGTGTTGCCAAGCTTGTCCAGGATGTTAACTTCCTTGGTACTCATTTTTAAGAGCATCTCACAGCATCTGAGGTGTATACCCTTCGCTGCCAAGTGAAGGGGCGTGGAACCAGACCTATCCTGCTTCTTAATCTCATCTTTCTTCGCCCATAGCAGCTGTTCCAAGGCTCTTGCATTGCCCACAGCTGCTGCTTGATGTACTTCATCGGTAGCCCGTGTGCTAGGGAGTCAGGGAAAAATATTAATAAGTACATTATGAGCTCCCACTAACTCAATCCCTCCCTCTCTCTCTCTCTCTCTCTCTCTCTCTCTCTCTCTCTCTCTCTCTCTCTCTCTCTTCTCTCTCTCTCTCTCTTCTCTCTATCTATCTATCTGTCTGTCTCTATCTCTTAAAAGTAGAGTATAAAGTTTTAAAAAAAGTATAAAATTGCTAATTCAATGTGATTATAAAGTAAAAAAAAAAGTGTAAAATTGTTAATTCAATGTGAAACAGAAATTATTTCAGAAATAAATCCACGAATACAAGAACACTGATAAAACATAGTGCCTCACAGCAAACACCTCACTAGTGATTGTACGTGTTCTGTACAAAGCACAAAGCATTTTAATGACTTCTTTTGAAAAAATGGAATACTAACTTTTGAATAAACAACAGCTTCTACATTACAACGAAACACAGATCGGGCAAGGCTTACAACTATTTTTTCAGACCACAACCAGTGGACGTAGAAACAATCATCTTAGTAATAAAACACCTTCGCGAAACAAAAGCTGTAGCTGCATACGGTATTGCTTTGCGCTTCATCAGAGAGAGTCTACCCGCAACTGCAATTATTTGACATTATTAATACATCTCTGGTCACTGGTGTCTTTCCGTCGCTTTGGAAACATGGTATAGTAACACCAATTTTCAAGTCGGGGGATATAGACATGAATAATTATCGCCCTATTACTATACCCCCTATATCACCCAAATTATATATATATTATATATATATATATATATATATATATATATATATATATATATATATATTTATCTATATCTATCATATATATCTATATCTATCTATCTATCTATCTATATCTATATCTTATATATATATATATATTTATATATATATATATATATATATATATATATATATATTTATATATATATTATATATATATATATACCCTTTTTGTGTATGTACAATCTGGATGTGTGTGCGTAATATATATATTATATATATATATATATATATATATATATATATATATATAATATATATATATATATATATATATATATATAATATATATATATATATATATATATATATATATATATATATACGTATGTATGTATGTATGTATGTATGTATGTATGTATGTATGTATGTATGTATGTATGTATGTATGTATGTATGTATGTATGTATGTATGTATGTATGTATGTATGTATGTATGTATGTATGTATGTATGTATGTATGTATGTATGTATGTATGTGTATATGTATATGTATGCATGTGTATATGTATGTAGATATGTATGTACGTGCGAAATAAACTCGTAACATGAGTGAAACACATTAACAATAAAACAGGTTAGACTGACCTGCGTGCGCCGCTGCCTTCGGAGCCGCCATCGTCCTGCTCTATTTGTAAGACCGCTATAAAAGATAAGAAGAATCTCGCATGATAAGCCCGTTCACTCGCATTATTGAACATCATTTATATGGAAAACTATTTGTAAACTGTTATAAAATTATCAAACTGCTTACTCTGATCATCCCTCAGGAGAGGTTTCAGCTCTGCTTGGTCAACGGGCATTTTGATAGCTGCAGAAAGAAGATTAGTATTCAGATGTGTTATCTGATATCATGCTGCTATCTCACGACTGATCTTATCACGGCATTGCATTTCACACCAAAGTAAAACTAGAACTTACAATAAAGCTTACTTCTGCCTCACAGTCCTTGGCAGGTCATAGCTCCTTGGCAGTCAGTGCCTGGGCGGGTACATGACCTGAAACATTACATATTCTTATAATATTTTCTTGCAGATCAAAGTGTACTAATCGATACTATTTGCATTCGTTGAAGCACTTTTTTGCGGGAGTTGGGGGGTCGGTTGGTTATCTTGCCTATACCACACCCTGGAAAGTGAATATACATAATATTAACCGCCACAGTATACCTCAGTATATCATATAATAATATATCAATTCAGTAACTATCAGATGACATTCTAGCTTTTTTTAAATGTTTCTTGGGATTTTTTTTCTTCTTAAGGACTAATATGTAATATCGGAATACTAAACACACTGTAAATACTACAATACCACTATATACAGTAGCCTTTGTCGATGTAAAACTCAAAACTGTAAGCTGAAACAAAGCACCTTCCACAACTGAAACAAGGAAGTAACTAAACTCATGGCTGATAACACTGCGATTTTGATCACGTAGTTGCCGATTTATTAATATGAAAATTTTACGTGAAATCACCTGATCTAGTCATGTTATTTCATGGACCGTTTACGTTTATATTAGTTTTTCTTGCGCTTTTTTTCTAAGTACGAAAAAAAATCTTTACTGAAATGAGAAAGTTATAGTTATGTTTCATGCGATTAATCAATGTCTGGACACATCTTCAGTTCCATTTTCATGTCTCATACGTATGCGGTCCTGATTAGATAATACGTACAATACGTTTTGCGATATCTTCCCTGAATAATCATACATATATACATACATGCATACATACATATATACATATAGGACCATATAGCAGGAAAACCCTCTCTGCCCATAACTAGATGTATTGAAAAAATGAGACAGTTTCGAAATCCTCCTGGACTTCATATTTAAATCTGAAGAGGAAGAGAAGGGAAGGAAAGAGAGGGAGAAGCACCACGGCAAACGGACATCAGGTGAGGCCAGGTAAGCGGAGACGAGGACCGGCATAAGGAAACCATCTGGAGACGTTAGAAGCTAAAAAAAAAAAAAGAAGAAAAAAAAGAATGTCGGTAGGAGGAACATACACTATCACGGTTGAAAATGGGCGGCTGCTTCATCAAGGGGGATCCCACCCGTCTGCGGGCGTGGACAGCAGCGGTAGGAAAGTCAATACGTACAGCTGACCAATCCATTTAATGTAATGTGTCCGTCGGATGGCAGAAAAAGGGTGTTATTGGTATGTCCTGGATACAGCGTGCTTAATTAAAGTGCTGTCACACGCGCTTTTTCCGTCATTTTTTTACAATTTTCTGAAATTTTGTCCATTTTTGAGCGAACTCGATTTTCCAGTAAGACGATAATGATCGTTTCCGTCTGAAAACCTTTCCGTCAATTTTTTCAGCCAAGCATAGTCAAATAAAGAGCTATATTCGAGAATGTTTGTATTTATGTTAAATATAATTGTCCAAAAATTGACGGAAAAAGTGCTAGTGTGATAGCACCTTTAGGCAGATAAATCATTGAAACCACGAAGACTTCGCTGCTCAGTTTTGCAACCCTTTATCAAGAGAGGTTTTTGGAGAAAGTGTGTGGGAGAGAGAAAGGAAGAATTAGATAGAGAGAGAGAGAGCGAAAGAGGTTTATAGAGAAAGTGTCTGGGAGAGAGAGAGAAAAAAGGTAGACAGATGGATAGGTTGATAGATTAAGAAAGCGAGAGAGGTTTATAGAGAAAGGGTGAGAGAGAGAAAGATAAATAGAGTAGAGAGAGAGAGAGAGAGAGAGATAGAGGGAGAAAGATAAAACACAGAGCAAGGCAAAGGACTTATAATCTTATCATTAGCGATATGCTTATCACTTCTTCACAATGTCTGCTGGAAGATTCGTTTGTTGGGTGCAGTGAAGGCAACGCTGAGCTCCGTGAGTATGTACTGTTCTTTTCCCATACTATTTCTTATTAAGAATATAAAAAAAAATTACTGCTGACTTGTGTATGTGTAGTAGGTTTTTTAGAGAAAGTGAGAGAGAGAGAGAGAAAGAAAGAAAAAGCGAGGGAGGTTTATAGAGAGAGTGAGAGAGAGAGAGAGAGAGAGAGAGAGAGAGAAAGAGCCAGGGAGATTTATAGAGAAAGTGAGAGAGAGAGAGCGAGAGAGGTTTATAGAGAAAGTGAGAGAGGGAGAGAGAGATAAAAGTAGATAGATATCATCATTCAATAAATCACTGATAGATATACAGTTCAGGTTCAGTTGACACTCAAAGGAAACAATAACAATATCCAACGTTTTATCACCTTTTCAATCCCTGTCTTTCTCTTTCTCTTTCCCTTCCTCTTTCGCTGGTATAATGAAACAGTTATTGACTCTAAAATTCTCTCTTTTGTTCTAACTTAAACATTACCTTTTATTGATATACTTCATTCACGGTCACATTATCAGATTCAGTGTTCTGAGGCCGATTTCCTAATCAGTGTCCACGCCCACACTCGAAAATAAATCGGAAAATCCAAACTGGGAAATAGTTACGATTGCATGTAAGTTAAAAGTCGTAGAAATATTAAGAACGAACTACTGTGAGAACAATAGACACACATAATTAATCACACTCAAAAAAACAGGTTAAACAAACAGACAATCAACCAAACACACACACAACCAAACGAACAAACAATCAAACAAACACACAACAACAAACCAAACACACAGTCAAACAAACAATCAAAAAAAAACACGCACAGTCAAACACCCACAACACATTCAATACTCAAAACAACAAACACACATTCAAACAAGCAAATCAAAACAAACAAACACCCAAACACACATAAACAAACAAAACAAACACATCATCAAACAAACACCCAAACACAACAAACCAAACAAACAAAAACACACATCATCAAAACAAACACCCCAAACACAACCAAAACAAACAAAAAACCCAAAAACACAACAAACAAACAAGCAAACCACTCTCGCAATTCTCTCTCTCCAGGTCAGTCGCCTCCGGTCGCCGTGACCCATGGACGACAGCGGCGCCTCGGAACCCATGCTGAGCGCGTCGGGTCAGGGTGGGTGGGGAAATGAGCCGTAATGCTGATTGTTTTTGTAAATTCTATTGATTTTTGGAGTTATTGTCATTGATGATGCTATGATTGTTATTATTGATATTATCATTATTGATATTTTTATTATCATTATTGTTGTTGTTATTACTGTTATTATTGTTATTGTTATCAGTCTTGTTATCATCATCATTATCATTTTTATCATCATTACCATCATCTCACCACCATCATCAGCATCAGCATCATCTTCATTATCTCTTCATCATTATCATCATCACCATCAACATATTACTACCATCATCACCATCATCATCATCATCATCATCTTCATCTTCATCATCTTCACCTTCATGATCATCTTCTATCATTTATATTATCATTATCATTATCATTATCATTATCATTATCATTATCATTATCATTATCATTATCATATCATTATTATTATTATTATTATTATTATTTATTCATCATTATCATTATTCATTATTATTATTATTATTATTATTATTATTATTATTATTATTATTATTATTATTATTATTATTATTATTATTATCATTATTATTATTATTATCATTATATTATATTATCTATTATTATTATTATTATTATTATTATTATTATTATTATTATTATTATTATTATTGTTATTACTATTATTGTTATTATCATTATTTTTTTATCATTATTATTATTATTATTATTATTATTATTATTATTTTTATTATTATTATTATTATTATTATTATTATTATTATTATTATTATTATATTATTTCTATTATTATTATTTTATATACTACTACTAACTACTACTACTACTATCGTATTTTATTATTATCATTATCATTATTATTGCCATTGTCATTATCATTATTTATTATTATTATTATTATTATTATATATTATTATTATTATTATTTATTATTATTATTTATTAATTTTATTATTATCATTATTATTGCTATTATTATTATCATCATCATCATCATCATCATCATCATCATCATCATCATCATCATCATCATCATCATCATCATCATCATCATTGCTGTTGTTATTATCATTATTGTTGTTTTGGCTCAACCTATTGTTATTATTTTAATCATTATCGATATTACTGTTATTATTACTGAATTTCTAATATGCTTATCATGATTATCATTTTAGTAGTATTAGTAGAACGAGTAATATCAACATCAGAATTGTTAATATTACCATCTTTATTAATCATTATTATCATTATCAAAATCATTATTGTTGTTGTCATTGTTATCATTATTATTGTTCTCATTATTGTTATTATTATCATCTTTGTTATTATTATTATCTTTATTATTATCATTTTCATTATTATTATCATCATTCTTTTTATTGTCATTATTATTATTATATTATTGTTATCATTATCATCAGTATTGTTATTATTATCATCATTATTGTTATTATTATCATCATCCTTATCGTCATTATTGCTATAAGTTTTTTTACTATTGTTTTACATTCATGATTTTCATCATGATTATTATCATTATCATTATCATTACCATCATCATTATCATTATATTATCATAAGTAGTAGTAGTAGTAGTATCACCATTATCATTATTATTATCATTTCTAATAACATTATTATAATTATTGTTGTTATTACTGTTTATTAGTATCATCATTGTTATCATCATCATCATCATCATCATCATCATCATCATAATCAACATCATCATCATAATCATCTTCATCATTATCATCATCAGTAAGACCATTAACTATCACCATTGTTATAATTATTATGATCATAATGACATTATTTTCATGATAACTCTTATTATCATAATAACAATGGTGATTATTATCATTACTTATATTATTATTGCTGCTATTATTATCATAATCGCTACATTCTTATCATATTCAAAATCATTATTATTAGTAGTAGTGTAGTAGTAGCAATACTCCTGTCATTATCATTATCATTAAAATAATCGCCATTATCGTTATCATCATTATCATTAACATTATATTACTACTTATTAATACTGTTATTATCTTTATTGTTACTATTCTTATGATTAGTTTGGTTATCATTATTGTTATTATTGTTGTTATTGTCATTATTATTATTACTATCATTATTATCACCATCATCATTACTATTATTGTTATTATCATTATCATCATTATTATCATTATCATTACTATTGTTATCATTATCATCTTTTCTTCTGTTCATTATTTTGTTTGTCGGTTTATTATCACTACTATTATTTTGATTATTATTATCGTCATTATGACTATTGTCATTATCATCATTATGATCGTTATTATTATCACCCTCATCGCTGTTTTGTTGTTGTTCAAGTCTCTATTTTCCTTTAAGTCATTCCCTTTCATGTCTTTCCCTTGTTCGTTTCATTCCTAGGTCTCGTGATCGTGTCTTTCATCTGACTTATCGGCTTTCTCATTTTCATTTTGCTTTTTGTTACATTTCTTCTTTCTTTTTCTTCTTTTGCTCTCAGGTTTTACACGGAACTTAATACTCGGTTTCGGATGTACGGGTAACGGTGATGCACACACAAATTGCGAATTCAGGAAGCACTTTCAGCTCTTTAGATAATGATGGTTCCCATGTTACTTTCGTTATTTTTTTCCTTCTTGTTATTTCACTTTGATAATCTTTCTTCTTATTTCATTTTCTCTCTTTTATTTCGTATTGTTGACCTATGTCCAAAATCTGAATTTTTGCTTTTAGATAGTTTTCTCAGTTCATTGTCTTTTCTCGCTTTTGTAACTTCATCTTTTCCTTCAGTCGATTCTTTAACGTCTTCGTGGGTAAGTTTCATATTTTTGAGTGTTATTCTTTCCACAAAATCTTCATTTTCTGTCTTGAGATTTTATTCCAGTATCGTTTCCGTTGAGCCGTTTGAGGTTCATTTGTTTTATCTTTATTGACTCCTCCAGCATTACCTCTATCAAATACTATTAGTTTAGGAATGCTTCATCCCTTTCTCCCGAGTATGCTCATATATCTTGTACCCTCATGTCTGGCTGTGAGGAAGTTGAGGGACGTGGAGTTTGTGGTGAATGAAAGGGGACTTTGCTGGTTCATTGGGGGAGGTAGAAGTGTGACCCCACGAGAGACCTGTACCACGGGTGCTGAGGGCGGAGGGTGACCTGACCTATTCTGCGTCTGCTCCTGTTCTCCCATCTCTCCGGTCTCTCTCGGTCTGCCTGACGAGACGTCCTTCTATCCAGAGACTCCTGTCCTGGGCAGGTGCCTGCTTCTCTATTTTGGGGTGTCAGTTCTTCCGGCCGTGACAAAGGGGGTGAGTTCGCCGGAATTGCTCGAGGGGGAGAAAGTACTTGGGCAAACAAGGTGCGATGCCAGAAAGGAAGGCAGCTGCTAGGGCCTAGGTGCGAAATCCAACCCAGCCGGTTTGAGCATATTATGACACTGGCCTCTTGCTCTAAATGCGCTGTACTTAATTCCATTATCAATACGATCTCCATTCCTATCAACTCCATCATCACCATCACCACCAAAGGCATTACTTTTTCTTTCTTACCAGCCCCATAATTCATCTTGCAGTTGCTGTGCTGATTGAGGAGAACCAACAAGATGGCGGCGACACGGAATCGGAGGCTCTTCCCCTGGAAATATTTCGAGAAGAACAGCTAGGAGCGAGGGCATCTAGGTGAGATGATTAAGGGAGAGAGAGGGATGGGCGAGCTGAGACCAAAACGACATGCGGCAATTGTAAAATTAATGAGAAGGAGGAAAGGAGGGTAGGAAGTAGGGTAAGAAGGAGGGGGGCAAGGAGAGAAAGAAAGAAAAGAGAGACAAAGAGACAGACAGAGATAGACATTCAGGGGAGGATTCTGTATGTGTAAAGTTAAAACGAAGCCATAAATTTGTTTCATTCAAAAAGACATTGTCCTAATATTACATTTCTTTTCAGACCGAAACACTCTTCAGTTCGATATACGAATATTGTCAAGGTAAAGTTTCATTGCTTATAACATATTCAATAACAGAATATCTCAAGTCATGGTTGGTCATAAAATTAAAAAGCATCTGCTTATATAATTATCATATTTATATATATTCCCACATTTTGCTTGTATATAGAGCACACTAATCTAAACCAAGTATTGTTGATTTGGTTTTAAATTTGGATATTAAATGGAATTCATCTGATTTAATTGTTCATTATTAGATACTACGCGAATGATATTATACTGTTCAAGATTGCACTTTTTACAGTGAAATAGACTTAGTAGGTGTGGCCTATTCAACAGACAAACATGCATCAAGCAGCGGAGGTAGGAGATGTGAACCGTCTCCAACAGCTGCTACAAGAACGACCGGAACACCTGAGCCAGCAGGACGAAAACGGCCACGTCCCCCTCCACTTAGCTGCTAGAGGAGTACATCTCAAGTGCTGCCAAATACTTCTGGATGTCAGCATCAAGGAAGTTAACATGAAAGATAAACTGGGCAACACTCCCCTTCTGTTGGCGCTCACCACCGGCGACGTCTCCTTCAAGATCGCCGAGCTGCTGGTGTCCAAGGGAGCCTCCGTGAAGACTGCCAACCGAGCTAAGCGAACGGCCTTGCACCTGGCAGCAGAGAAAGGCAACGACAAAATCCTCAAGCTCCTCGTCAACAACTGCCCGGAGAGCGTCCATGCAAGGGATACCGAGCAGCAGACGCCTCTCCATCTGGCGGCTCGCTGGGGTCACGTGGCTTCCTGCCAGCTGTTGGTGGGTTATGGGGCAGACAAGGAGGCCAAAGACACGCGTGGGTACACTGCTCTGCACTGGGCTGCCAAGATGGGCTTTGCAGAGTGTTGTAGTCAGCTGCTCAACTCCGGGTCTGAGGTAAACTGTGTGGACAAGACCGGTAATACCCCACTGCACCTGATATGCTCCTCATCAAAGGAAAAACCTGATTGTGTTGAGGTTCTGTTTAAATTTGGGGCTTCTCCTGCTATACAGAACAACAAGGGAGAGACGCCTTTCCACTGTGCGCAGTATTCGCCCGGTGAAGTAAGAAAATTATTCGAAACCCTTTCAGATATTGACCTATTCATTACTGATAACAAGGGCAAGACTGTTCTCCACTGTGCTGCAGAAAGAAAGAAAAGCAGAAATGTTGAGTTTATATTGGTAATGGCAAAATCCCAAAACGTTAACATGAAGCAGTTTGTAAACATGCTAGACAATGGAGGCAAGACTGCTTTGCATGTTGCCATAGAGGGTGGGGATTTGGAGTGTTGTAAGTCCCTGGTCAAAGCCGGTGCTGACGGCAACCTGGTGCTAGGAGCTCGAGGTACGTCCTTGCACTTAGCTGCCGAGAATGGTCTCCGGGAGGTCTGCGATTATCTGATCACCAGAGGCATTAAGACGGACACGCGAAACAGCAGCTTGATGACCCCTCTTCACCTCGCGGCCAAGAATGGCCACGCCAGCTGCTGTGAAGTTCTGCTGAAGCGAGGTGTTCCGTGGGCTGTCCATGACGACCAGGGTATGACTGCTCTCCACCACGCCGCCAGGGAAGAGCGGGCAGAGTGCTGTAAGATTATCGTAGCACTACAGCCGTCAGCAGTGACGAAGATGGATAAAGCTTACCAGACACCTTTGCACCTCGCAGTCGAGAAGAACTGCTTGGAGTGTTGCCAGGCCCTTGTCACTCCTCGTTCAGATGTTTGGTACCACAGCAATGGTGTAAGCCCTGTCAAATATGCGTATGAGAAGCGCTTTCATCAGATCTTCGATTTTCTTCTAGGCACAGAGAATGTGGAGAAGAAGAAGCGAAGCGAAAGAGATATTGATTTCCGCGATCTTCTTGAAGAATCACTTGAACACTTAAACAGGTTAGTGATCTGTACACATGAGTATGGGTGGGAACACTTGTGCTGTGTATGTATGATCATATGTGTGTGCCTTAAAGATCGAGCATAATTCACTACAAATAAGTGATGTTAAATATCAGTCCCATTCAGCTAAAACTGGTGACAATATGCCATAGCACCAACTAAAGCATATCAAAGTATATCAGACTTTAGATATGTTTTATATGAAAAACTTTCTTATGGTTATTACAGTCGTACAATAAAAAAAAATCTTAATATCCAAAATCAAAAAGTTCTTTCTGAACAACTTTATTACAGTAACAAATGAAACACTTGACCAGTCAAATCGAGAGTAATTACTAGAGCGTTTGGAATATCCATTTCGGTTTACCACCCGTAGAGAGGTCTACTTAGTCCAGAAATGTTTTATGTGTTATTTCCTTTCTTAATGCGACAATAGTTCCTTTTACCTTCCAACAAATGCCCCGCTATATTAAAGTATAGTGTGCATCTTAAAAGTTGGTTGTGCATTTGACTATAGGATGGCGGATTGCATGTAACTCTCTCCTCCTCCCCACCTAGTTCCTCTGAAGACAAAGACAGCGAAGCTCACAGACGCATAGCGAAGGCCATCATCAACAGCTGCTTCTGGGAGGAGTCGCTCAAATCCTATGGCACTCCAGGAGACCTGACCCCGCCCCAGAAACAAAAGAATGGCAACTTGAGACTCCTTGTCAAGTACCTGCCCGATGTGGCAAAGATGGCATTGGATAAATGTATGGCAACAGATGGCTACATGGAGGGAGGTTGCCAACGGGGGTACATCGTGCGGTACTTGGATCAAGAACACTTTATCGGAGGTAAGGCAGACGCGATAACAGCAGAGACAAAGATAATAATAATCATAATGATGGTGATAATGATACCAGCAGTAATAATAAAGTTCTACCATTTCACCTGTAGGAAGTCATATTTGGAACAGACAGCAGGAATAGGAATAAGTAAATAAATAGCTGAACACACACCACCATTCCAGTCAACCCCCGAAAAAGCAAGGGCACCTACACCCCAAGTGTCTCAGGAGAACAGCTGACGCAGGGCGTGCGTGTGGGGGGCGTGAGTCGAGAGTGGCGGCAGGACCACGTGTTAGCCTGGATGACTCGCTACGGACACCACGAACTCCTTCAGCATCCTCTAGTGACGCGCTGGCTCAACTACAAGTGGCAGTCCTACGTGAGGTGTGGCCTCTACATCCGCATCGGCCTCGCCTCGGTCCTGGCTGTGCTGCTCACCGTCTTCACTGCTGTTTCGTGGTGGGTGTTGCTTTGCGTGCGTTTTGATCTCAGTGTTACAGGAAGGAAGTCGACATTACCTGATATTCTCTGTTGTTTTGCATAAATACAGTGTTGTTTTTCTTCTTACACATGAACGCACATTAACACACACACAAAAGCATCTCAAAAAAGTCAATCTCTTCATACCCGTACGTTCTCTGTTAAAGGGACTGGAGCTACCTGAAGCAACAATACAACTACACACAAGCCATGGTCTGTGTTTTCGGATCCGAGAAAATTGTTGGCCCGGAAGTAGTAAAAATGCTGCGACAAGAGGGCCACTCTCCTCTCGTCCTCAGTTACGTCGTCGTTGCTTTAATCGCTTTATGGGCGATGCATGATTTATATAGCTTTATAATGGTCAGTACTGATATGATATATATATATATATATATATATATATATATATATATATATATATATATATATATATATATATATATATATATATATATATATATATATAATATATATATATATATATATATATATATATATATATATATTATATATATGTATATATATATATATTGTTATAGCAAATTCTTCATCTCTAGGCCAATGAACTTAAATTAAAATATCTTGTTAAAAGTAATAGGAAAACTGTAAACGAATGTCAATTTGATTTCCTAACAGCTTTATTACACGTTTCAGCTGAGGAAAAAATATTTTACCAAAGAGAGCGTTACCTTCCTTCTGTGTGCAATTGCAACTGTGGCTTTCGTCATGAATTTCAGTCAGTGTTCGCAACTGACGTACGTCAGAGAGGTTAGTTTGAATTTTGAGTTGTTATATCTATTATTATTACCATTATTTTTATGATTATTATTATATTTGTTGTCATTGTTGTTACAGTTGTTGTTGTTATTGCTGTTATTGTTGATATTATTGTTGTTGCTTTTATCAGAAAAGGCTAGTGTCATACCTGCAGTGATGATGATAATGATTATCATATTGTTGTTATTATTGTTATGATTATTATCATCATTATTATCACCATTACCATAATCATCGTCATCATCACAATCGCCATCATCGCTATCAGCATCTATTATCATTATCTATACTATCGTTATTATTATTATTACTATCATTACTGTTGTTATAATTATCATTATTATCACCATTACTATAATCATCATCATCATCACTATCGTCATCATCATCATCTATTATCATTATCATCTATCGTATTACTATTATTATTATTATTACTATCATTAGTGTTATTATAATTATCATTATTATCGTTAATATCATTATCATCATCATTAATAGTAGTAGTAGTAGTAGTGGTATCATTATCACTATTATTATCATCATGACTAACATCATCGGCATTATTATTTGCAGAATATTATGATACATGAGCACTTTTATTTCTGAAGATAACTCTATTCCTTGAACGTCTGGCCACAGGACGAGCAGTGGGTGGTGGGCCTGCTGGCCATCTTCCTGGCCTGGCTCCACGTGTTCCTCCTGACGCGCCGGCTGCCTATCTGCACGCCCTTGCTCTTCCGCCTGAAGCTCCTGATCGACATGGCCCTGAAGGTGGCCGTGCCGGTCGTGGCCGTGGGCAGCGGGATTGTGGCCGCGCACTGGATCGCCGCGAAGGGCGAACTCGCCTACAACCAGAACTGGTCGTGGATTTCGAAGGTCGTGTCGCATCCTGCGGTGAGCGTCAGCTCCCTGGTGGTCGTGACCGTCATTCTGTGTATTCTCCTGATGAACGAAGGAAGGAAGAAGGAGATGGAGAAGTACAGGAAGAGGCGCCGTGTGGCCTTCGTGGACATGATCCTCAACTTCGACCTCCTGTACCCGTGCCTGCGAAGGCGGTACTACGTGACGTGGATCCCCCAGAAGCCGCTCAGGCGAAGGAGCGGGCTCTGCGGGCGGGCCGACAGGTGCTGCGCGGCCGGCGACCCTCTCGACGATGACGCGACGGAGGCGAAGTCGCCGGAGGTGGCGACAGGGAAGACGGAAGCTCTTGAGGCGAAGCTGGACGCCCTGAAAGGTGCCGTAGAGAAGCAGGAGCGCGAGGTCGCTGCGCTTCTGAAGCAGCTGAACGATTCAGTGGAGAGGCTGAGCCAGCAGGCGCTCTGCGGCGAGGGAGAGCGGAAGAGGAGGACTGATTAGCAGAAAGGAAGTGGTGATGAATGCTTATATGGACAGATAGACTAGTAGGTAGATAGATAGAGAAATAGACAGGTAGATAGTTATGTGTGTGTGTGTACAGCTACACAGAAAACTATCATAAGAAGGGGTGTCGAAATATCCAATATCAAACAGAGCCTTATGTTACGGAAGGGTTGGTATTTTGGGTTTAGAACTTGTCTTGCTCTGATTCATGTCTCGAATAGTCGTTCCGGAAGTCATATGGATTCACTGTGAGATGATGATTTTATTCCTGTAAGAGATGGAATATGCCTTGCAATATTCAGATATGCCACAGATACCCTAAAGTCGTTGGAAAATCAGGGAAAACAGTTTTGTACTGTTAACAACTATATTTCAAAAAGTATCATTAATTATGGCCGAATGTTTAGCATGATTTTCTTATAATATGTATATGTGTGTGTGTGTGTGTGAGCTTGTGTGTATGTGTTTACAAAGGAACACATGCATAAATGATTCCACACGATCAAAGTTAAGTAAAATTTCCTATGATTATGTAGTCTTAGGAAGAAGGTTAAAATGTCTTCATTGTTTTATCTATCATGCAATTTACACCAATAAATTTATTAAAAATAGTCTGCTTTATTAATCATTTTCCATCTTACTTGTAAGTGAATATGGCCAAAAACCACAAATCATTATTATCAACCTATGATTATTATCATTATCATGACAGATAATATTTTTATCAGCATTGGTAGTATTTATATCCATTGTAATGGTAATACTTTCCAACTAAGGCCCAGTCAAAAAAATAGAAACACTGACTCGCCATCCCTCAAAAAGGCATGTGTTACCCCCTCGGCAGGCAAGATCATGATCTTTTCGGACCAGCATGGAGTTCCTGGCAAAATGTACTACAGTTGCAGGAGCATACTACACTTCACTGCTACAGAAGGCTATAAAAAACAAGAGGAGTAGAAGGTTGACCAAAGGTGTCCGCCTCCTACAAGACAATGCCCCTGTTCACAATTATCACACTGGCCAGATGGAAGTGCGGTCGTGTGGCTACGATATCCCTCCTAATCCTCCTTATTCTCCTGACCTTGCACCATCTGACTTTCACCTCTTTCCATCCATGAAGTCATTTTTAAAGGGAAAACGTCTCCAAGAAGATAAGGCACTGATTTCTGGAGTCACTTCATGGCTACAAACACAATCTGCAGACTGCAATAAGCAAAGAGTCCATAGCTCGTTTCGATGGGAGAAGCGTGTCCCTCTTGGTGGTACCTATGTAAAGAAATATTAATAATTGGACATCGTTTCATTCCTACACCTCCATGGGAAATCTTGGATGAGCACCCTTTGTGTGCATATATATGTGTGTGTGTGTGTGTAGACTTCCTTGTGTCTGTATCTAAATTGTCTATGTAAAAATAAAAGACCGAAGAGAAATAGAATACACAAATAAACATTTTTTTTCAGAATTGCTTCTCCATGCCCCGAGAGAGCAATGCGAGTATAGCGAAAAGGTTTCTGCATCTTCACCTGTTTTGCCTTTTATTAGTGAGTGTGTGTGTGTGTGTGTGTGTGTGTGTGTGTGTGTGTGTGTGTGTGTGTGTGTGTGCATTAGTGCGTTTTCATTAGTGGATAACCAATTTTTTATGCTTTTTCAAAGACAATTTATTCCTTTATCTCTCCTATCTGTTTCTTATCAGCCCCCATGAGTCACTCAGACTAGACATGTCACAGCATCTCGGAAACCTCCCTGTCTTCAGCATCATCTAAAATCTATACCAATACCAGGCAAGTATCACATACGCGATCATTATGATATTTACGCTATCCCATTGTTGGCTGGTCACTTGGTCGGTTAAAGGTCGCGAAAGGTATAGGGTCAAGAACGGCACTAGATGTATAGGTGTGTGTGTGTGTGATGTTTGTGCGTTCTAGAAGTGTTGCGTGGAAAGTGTGGTCACATTTGTAGTTCATATTTTCAACGCTATTATTATTGATATTGATACTGTTATTATTGATATTATTATTAGTATTACTGTTGTCATTATTATTATCATTATTGATTATTATTATTATTTTTATCATTAACCTGCTACAGAGGTTTTAGGTCGCGTCAGTTAGAAGTTATGAACAGATTTTTATGATTTTATTTTTACCAAAGGTGTGTCTTAGTCTAACTTGGGTTCCTGGATCCGGATCCAGGAATGTTTTGAATGATTGCATAAGTAACTACGATTATCATTACCTTCATCGCATCCGCCAAGGAGGTTATGTTTACGAATCGCCGGTGTATTTGAGAAGCGATTTTAATGTAATTCTTTGTGTGAATATCTTTACTGCATCAGTGAAACTATTGCCTTGACGGAGGTATGCGCACTCTGAGTGCTTCTAGTTATCATTATTATTATCATTATTATTATCATCATTAGTATCATTATTATTGCTGTTATTACCTCTGCCAATGACGTTATGTCTTTGGCCACTTTGGTTAGTGTATTTGTTTGTTCATTGGTTAGAAGGATAATTCAAAAAGTTATGAACAGAATTTTATTATCTTTTCACCAAAGGCATGTCTCAGCCCAACTTAGATGCCATTAAATTTTGATCTGGATCATGACCCGGATCCAGGAACTTTTTAAAGGAGTCATTCGTACTGCGAGATAGGGACGACTTAAACTTTTTGGCAATTGATTATTATCTTCATCATTTTTATTAGTCATTATGATTATTCAAGAGTGAATATTTTTATTGCATGTGACCCTATTGCCTTGGCGGAGGTATGCGATCTCTAAGTGCTTCAAGTTGCTATTGTTGTGACTCATATCATTAGCAATATCAATATTATTATTGGTAATATTATCGTCATTTCATTGTTATTATTATTATTATTTCTTATTACCACTTATCACTATCATTATTATTATCATTATTATTCTTATTATTGTGATTATCATTAATACATCATTATCATTATTATTATCATTACCTCCGCCAAGGAGGTTATGCTTTTAGTTATGCTTAGTTTGTTTGTTGGTTAGCAACTCAAAAACTGAGGAACAGATTTTTATTATTTTTACGAGACGAACCTTAGTCTTAGATTCCATTCAATCATAGTGGTGTTCCTGATCGTGATCCGGATTCAGGATTTTTCTCAGGGATTGCGCCAGCTCCCCTTATCGCATCGGCAACGGGGGTGACTATTATCATCGTGTTTACGAATGTCGCCAGAGTACTTGAGAAAGAGGGGATTTTAATGCAATTCTACAAGTGTGGATATTTCTACCAGTGACCCTATTGCCTTATTATTACTATCATAATTACTATTGTTATTATTATCGTTGTTATTATTATTATCATTATTATTGCTTACTATTATCATCATCAGTATTACTACTATCAATATCATTTCCATTATTTCTATTATTATTACTATTATTATCATTATCGTCATTATTACCACCATCACTATTTATTATCATCATCCTCATCTTTATCATTATCAACGTCGTTATCAAAGTAGTAAGAGTAGTGCTTATAGCACTATCATCATCTTTATTATCATTGTTATCATTTCATTCAAGGTGTGAAATAGGAAACCTAACACTGTGGATCTATTCACATGGCGACCACTGCAAAAGAGACGAAAAAGGCAAGTGGTTCTATTTAAACTGCAAAAAAATGCAAGATCATATAATACAATACAGTATGATGTAATACAATACAATAAATACAGTGTCATGTAATGATAATACAATAAATACAATATCATGAAATGCAATACAGTAAATATAATTTCATGTAAAAAATTAGAAAGCTAACAAAGAACATTCCAGACGGAGATGCACGAGGCAGCGGAGGCGGGCGACGAGAACCGGCTGCGTCGCCTTCTTGAGGAACAGCAAGACGACGTCAGCAAGCAAGACGAAAACGGCCTCACGCCCCTCCATCTGGCCGCTAAGAAGACACGCCCTCGGTGCTGTCAGGTCCTCCTTGACGTCAGCCACAAGGAAATCAACGTGAAGGACAGATCGGGCAACACGCCCCTGTTACTCTGCGTCTCACATAACCTAGAGTCGTTCGAAACGGCTAAACTGCTCGTTTCGGAGGGCGCCAACGTCAGTTTCTCAAACAAAGCAAAGCTAACCGCTCTGCACACTGCGGCCGAGTGTGGAAACCTGGAAGTCCTCCAGCTTCTCCTGCAGCAGAAAGACATCGCGCTAAACCCGGAGGATTCAGAAGGGCACACCCCCCTCCACCTGGCGTCCAAGGCGGGCCACTGGAAGGTCTGCCAAGCCCTTGTGCTGGCCGGTGCGAGCGTGGCAGCTCGCAATGTGCGCGGTCAGACGGCCCTGCACATCGCCGCAAAAATGGGCTTCTCCGAGTGCTGTAAACATCTGCTTTCAGCGGGAGACGTCAACAGCGCCGACGCGCAGGGTAACACTGCCCTGCACTTGCTGTGCGCTTCGGGGAAGAACAGTCCTGAGTGCGCCAGGGTGCTGTTCGAGGGAGGGGCGAGTGCGGACTCGAAGAACAAGAAAGGAGAGACGCCGTTCCACGTGGCACAGCATTCGCGCTTCGATGTGAAAAAGACTTTCCAGCACCAAGAGGTAGATCTGTTCCTTCAAGACGTCAGCGGGAATACGGCCTTGCACTACGCTGCGGGCAGGCGGGAGTCGAAACACGTGGAACTCATACTGCTGATGGCCCGGGAGAGGGGCGTGGACGTGGGGCGACTGGTGAACACCACGAACGGAGCTGGGAAGACGGCTCTTCACGTGGCCATCGCGCGAGGAGAGAGGGAGAGCTGCAGGGCGCTCATACAGGCCGGGGCAGATGGCACGATATCCTGCGAATCCTTAGGCACTCCGATCAGCATGGCATCGCAGAGGGGCCTGCAAGACATATGTGACCTCCTTGCAGAAAGGTAAATAAAAAACATTACGTTGGCCACATATTAATCGCTGTTTTTGTAACCTTCATCCAAAGAAAATGAAAAATAAAAGTTTTTACTGAATTCCATAATGTATTTCAGTGTTTTATCTTTGATCAACCCTTTTCATTAGAACTGAATATCAAACCTGTCATTTCATTACTCGGGTACCCATATGCATGCTTAAAACATCTAAACTTTATAGATCCTCACTAAAATAGACATATATTCCCGAACACAAAGACATTCCAGTGACCGATTTAGCTTCCCATCCCCAGAACTATGATTGCACGGTAAATGAAGGTATTTCAATCAAACAAGAGATTGGATCAAGAAAGACAAAGAGTAGTGGAAGTATCATTATGACCATAGATGTTACTATCATCGTCATTATCATTGTCATTACTTATGTGGCCATTGCACATAAGGGATAAGTAAGTACCATGCATTTCTCTCTATATATATCTTTATACCTCTATCCTTATCTTCTCTCTCGCTCGCTCTCGCTCTCTCCTCTCTCTCTCTCTCTCTCTCTCTCTCTCTCTCTCTCTCTCTCTCTCTCTCTCTCTCTCTCTCTCTCTCTCTCTCTCTCTCTCTCTCTCTCTCTCTCCTCTCTCTCTCTCTCTCTCTCTCTCCCTCTCTCTCTCTCTCTCTCTCTCTCTCTTCTCTCTCTCTCTCTCTCTCTCTCTCTCTCTCTCTCTCCTCTCTCTCTCACACACACACACCACACACACTTACTCACTCCCTCCCTACTTCCCTTTCTCTCTCTTTCCCTAAAAACGTAAGATTTTGGTGATAGCTCCACTAACTTTGACATTCACTCTCTGTTGTTCTCAAATGCAATCGTCTGAATGCTGCATGGCGCGTTGGTTCGAGAGTGTGTTGGTAGTTTTATCTTATCATTCTCTTTGCATTTTTTCTACGTTCATTTTGTGTACTTATTTGCATGACAGGAGGTTGACGGATTTTATCAAGTCAGGTGATGCAAAACACACCAAACTAATGGTTATTACATTGTCAGTTACGTATATGCACATGCACTACACTCCCATACAACACACACACACATGCACACACACACACACACTCATATTCATATCTATATCTTCTCTCTCATCCTCTCTCTCTCTCTGCTCTATATACTATATATATGATATATATATATATATATATATATATATATATATATATATATATATATATATATATATATTATAATATATATATATAGATGATAGATAGATAGATAGATAGATAGATAGATATGATAGATAGATAGATAGATAGATAGATAGATAATAGATACGATAGATAGATAGATAGATAGATTAGATAGGATAGATAGATTAGATAGACTAGATATATAGAATATAAGATATAGATATATATACTACATATATATATTATGTGTGTGTGTGTGTGTGTGTGTGTGTGGGCGATAGTAATAATATATATATAATATATATATATATATATATATATATTATAATATATTAATATATATATATATAATATAATACAATATGTTGTGTGTGTGTGTGTGGTACATATATATATATAATATATGATATATATATACTATATATATATATATATATATATATATATATATATATATATATATACAAATGTATATACATATACATCATCTATGTGTTACCCATCTCTCTTTCTCTCTTTCTCTCTCTCTTCTCTCTGGTTCTCTCTCCCAATCTTTCTCTTCTCTTTCTCTTTCTCCTTTCTCTTTTTTCTTTTTCTTTTCATTTTTCTTTCTCTCTCTCCCTCTCTCTCTCTCTCTACTCTCTCTCTCTCTCTCCTCTCCTCTCCTCTCTCTCCTCTCTCTCTCTCTCTTCTCTCTCTCTCTCTCTCTCTCTCTCTCTCTCTCTCTCTCTCTCTCTCTTCTCTCTCTTCTCTTCTCTTCTATCTCTCTCTCTCTCTCTCTCTCTCTCTCTCTCTCTCTCTCTCTCTCTCTCTGCTCTCTCACACACACAGACACACACACTACTCACCCTCCTACTTCCTTTCTCTCTCTCTGTTCCCTAAAAAACATAAGATTTTGGTGATAGTTCCACTAAACTTTGCACATTCACTTCTCTGTTGTTCTTCAAATGCAATCGTTACTTGAATGCTGGATGAGCCGCGTTGGTTCGAGAGTGTGTTGGTAGTTTATCTTATCATTCTCTTTGCATTTTCTACGATTCATTTTTTGTACTTATTTTGCATGACAGGAGGTTGACGGATGTTTATCAAGTCAGGTGATGCAAAACACACCAAAAATAATGTTATATTTACATTGACAGTTACGTATATGCACATTTCGCACTACACTGCCCATACAAACACAACACACACATCCACACACACAGCACACACTCATGATTCATGTCTATTCTGCATCTCTCTCTCTCTCTTCCTCTCTCTTATATATATGAAGATTATATAGAGAGAGTAATAGTAAGAGGGATAAAGAAGAAAGATAGGGAGAGGGAAGTAATATAATTAGGGAGAGGGATAAAGGGAGAGTGAAG